CCCTAAACCCTAAACCCTGTTGTTCCGGTACCCTAAAACCCTTGGAGAAGGAGCCTGCCTCTGCGCTTGTTGGGGAACTCACAGACGTATCCAGGGAGACGTCGGAGTACCCTGTTTGCGGTTTAGGGTTTAGGGCAGTACCATGTCAAGGCGGCGCTCACATTCCAAGCTGCTTTCTTCAAGCCTTGCTTTTGTGCCACGTCATTTCCAACGGAACTGGAGGTTCTTGCCTCAAGCGGAATTCCACGAGGAGCTGTGTGGCCGTCACGACGTCGTCGTTGGAAGTTGTCGGCCAGTCAACCGCCTGAACGGAATAAAAGCTCCGGTTAGCCGGGAGCCGCTATGCTGGAGGGCACAGCATCCTGTTCCAGTCTTGCGACGATGGCACCACGAATGCTGGAACTTGAGTGTTTTTCAACCTTCCAACGTTTCAAGATGAAGCTGTGATGAACGTCATACATCCGCGCTGCAATAAAGTAGTGACGGTATTATCCCTGTACAGCCCCATCGAAAAATGCTATGATGATATCGCTTCGTTTAGCAGATGGCCCTTAACCACCCCACGTGCCATCATCTTCAGAGAAGGACGACTCCGTCTCAAGCGATACAGAACATCTTGAGGGTTCAGGGCTTGGGATTTTCAAAGTCTGAACCTCTAAGCCCTAGGCCGCGGTTTTAGGGTTCGGGGTTTAGGAATTTACTGTCGGGCCCTTAATAATTAGAATAGGCTTTTGGGGGATCCTGATTATAATTATAGTATAGTATACCCAAACCCTGTTCTAATTCTTAAGGCCCCCATATTATTAGAGTTGTGGGAGGGATATATGTTGTATCGCTGCATGTGTCCGCAGACGGTCTCACGTCGCTTTTGTCATCAAAATAGCCCAAAAGCCTTAAAAATAATAGGGTCTTACACTAGACCCTGAGCCCTAAACCAAACCCTAAACCCTAAACCCCTAAGCCGTTCTTCGGGCCCAAAAGCCTTTTAAAAATATGAGTCCTTTGAGGGTTAGGGATTGCTTTTGTCATCGTGGAGCGTAGCCGGGATACGGGCACAGCTTTAAAACCAAGAAGCCTGAGAGCTGCTTCCGAATCAAACCAGTCCAATTTGGGGTTCGGGGTTTGGGGTTTAGGGTATAAGGGCCTGAATAATTACCTATACTATTTTGGGTGTTACTTGTTTCAATTGTTGTATAACGCAGGGTAACCATTTAGGCCCCTATATTAGACACTTTAAGCCCAACTGCAGGTACCATAAGGCGTTGACACGGTTAGGGTGTCTAAGCCCCTTTGACCGCAAACGTGCCTGACAACCTCTATACTCCCGTGGGTTTATGCTATAGCCATTACTCCTCTACCCTGTCGGAAGCATTACTTTGCGATGTACTTGCAACCTAAAATCCTGAACCACACCAAACCCGAAAGCCCCAAAACCCTCAACGCCTTACAATAGGGCCTTTAAAAAATATTCTAACCCTCTTAACACCGGATCTTCCCCCGCAAAACCGTGAGGGTTTTTACTGGTTTTTCTCTTTTCTTCTACACCCCATAATGGCTCCCTAAACCCTAAGCCCGAAACCCTAAACCCTAACCCACTTCTTAGTTTGCATTCCAACAAGACCGGCAAAGTCACTCATTGTCTCGGTGGCCCAGATCGCGTCGCACCTCCCGCATTCAAGCCCGACGGAGTTTGGGACGTTTCAAAGTTAAGACTTATTCAACTGATCCTGAACCCTAAACCATCACCCCGAAACACATAAACCCTGTATCATGAAATATGACAAGTTTGTCGAACTTCGATTTTGGATCCCCCCCACAAGCTATATATTCCTTATTTAAGGGGTATTGGGCTCTGGGTAAACCCTAAAACCCTAAACCCTAAAGCCTGAACCCTCAACGCTCAACCCTCAGCCCTAAAACCCTAAAACCCTAAACCCTAAAACCTAAACCCTGAACCCCCAAAAAACCTAAAACCCTAAAACCCTGAACCCTTAACCCTCAAACCCTAAAACCCTAAACCCTAAACCCTAAAACCCGAAAACCCTAAACCACAAGCTCCAACTCTCTGGCTTCTACTATACCCATAGGCCCCATAGTAGTTCCTTTTTGGGAGTACCTTATAGGATTCTAAACATGAGCCCCCAAAAAGGAACTACTATGGGGCCTATGGGTAATTCTGGGGTCGATCGAAAATGTTCAGGCTTCAATGGTTTGTGGTCTTAGGGCTTAGGTTTCTAGGGCTTGAGTTTAGGGGTTCGGGTTTAGGGCTTGAGTTTAGGGGGTTGGGGTTTAGGGCTTGAGTTTAGGGTTTTGGGGTGGTTTGGGGTGTAAGGCTTAGGTTTCTAATCTTAAACCCTAAACCCTAAACCCTAAACCCTAAACCCTAAACCCTAAACCCTATAAGCCCTAAGGTTTAGGGTTTAGGGCTTCGGGCCCTGAGCCTTAAGCCCTAAAACCCTGAACCCTAAGCCCTAGACCTATAAACCCTAAGCTCTACACCCTAATGTCGATCCCTTCTTGGACCTGCAGCTGACGGAGCTTGACGCTCCCCAGTTTGTGGTTTGGGGGATGTTGGGGGTTTTAAGGGTTTTGTGGCTTAGGGTTTAATTTAAGACGTCATTCTCGGCCATTCGCCTCGGTTGCGGAATGATGTGGAGGTTGAGGGATGTTGGGGGTTTTAAGGGTTTAGGGCTTAGGGTTTTAACGGTATAAAACGGTTTACGTTATGGATGACAGAACCCTTGTAGAGCCTCTGTTCAACCGCTACAGAGCGAAAACAAAACACCGTATGAAACCTGGTAGAACCCTTGTAGAATCCCTATAGAACCCAGATTCATCCGCTACAGAAACCATATTAAAAAAGTATGACAACCATACACAATAACCCAAAAGGCTTCATATAACCCCTGCACGAAGCACATATAAGCGAACAATGTCAACAACAGCCCTATACAATCATAAAGAACCCTTTGCTAACCCCCTACGAGGCCTGCGAGAACCTTTTCCACGACCTAAAACCCTAAACCCTAAAGCCCAAACCCTTAACCCTAAACCCTGAAACACAAACCCTAAACCCTAAACCCTAAAGCCCAAACCCTAAACCCTAAACCCCTGAAACCCAACAATCCTAAACCCTGAGCCCTAAAGCTAAAGCCAAATCCTGAACCCTAAACCCTGAACCACAGTAGAGATCTCTCTGCACCTTCTGCAGAAAGTTGTTTCGCTCCTGAGGCTCTTGGGTTCTAGGCTTTGAGGGTTTTAGGGTTTAGGGTTTAGGGTTTAGGGTTTAGGGGGTTTAGTAAGCTTAGGTTTGGGGTTTAGGATTTAGGGTTTAGGGGCAGGATCTGTGAAATAGAATCGCTAGCAGGGTTTAGGGCTCGTAGGGTTTAGGGTTGAGGGCAGGGTTGAGGGCTCAGGATTTATAACCCTAAACCCTAAACCCTAAGCCCTAAACCGGGCTTAGGGTTCAGGGCCCTGCCACCAAAGGAACAGCCGCAACCTGCAGCCCTCCACTGACCTTCCGGAACCCAAAACGGCTCGAGCTTCTCAATAAGGGACCCGTAGTCCTACAACCATGATACGACCCTACTATTCCTCGGAATCTCCCTTGAAGGGTGCTTGGCAAAAAAAGCCCTTCCGTGCCTCGTTCAAGCACCGAACAAATGAAATTATCTAAAAAGAAGGCCCATAACCCTAAACCCTACTTGGAGGCCCNNGGCCTCCAAGTAAACCCTAAACCCCCAAGACTCCACCCGCCAAGGCTCCTTGTACCCTATACAGTAGATACGTAAGCCTTCCAGGGGTCCCTATACAGGTACACGAAGGCCTAAGTGTATACTCTATGGGCACATGGAGCCTTAGGGAAATAGCCATAGCCCAAAGTAGGTATTGCCTATCGACGTTTGACCCCAAATGTGTTCGTGTACTGGGACTCGGAGTCTTGGGAATATTACTAGAACGACTCATTTTCTTTGCTTTGTTAAATACCCTAAACCCCAAACCCTGGACCGTTAAGGCCTTAAGGGGTCTAGGTTACGCTGCTAATTTTTTGTGGGGGAAATTCCGGGGAACCCCAGGTTTCCAGTCTGCAGAAGGTGAGTTTGAAGGGACACCCTGTAACCTTTTAAAGGGTGTAGGCTTTAGGGTTTAGGGTTTAGGGTTTAGGGTTGTACTGTGGGGACCTTAATAATTAGAATAGAGTTTTGGGGTCTGCGTATTATCGGTATAGTATGTACCCCCAAACCCTTTTCTAACTGTGAAGGCCCCTAGGTTAGGGTTCAGGGTTTCCGGGTTTAGTGTCTTAGGGTCTTTACAAGGCCTGAACCCTGTTGCTGCCAAAAAACATGTCATCTTTCACTTCTAGCGGGTGTATAATATTGCAACAGAAAGTGTAAAGTGCACTGAATCACCCATGCAAATATACAAACCTTCATAAAGACCTTATATTCAAACCTCTAACGTATTTGTACACCCCGAGAAAGCCTTGTTAACCGTAACCCCGAAGCCCCCTCAAGAAACCCCAGGCCTTAACTTAAACCCGAGACCACCAAACCCTAGACCCTAACCCCCAGAACCCTAAACCCGTAAACCCCTAAACCCCTGAACCCCTATAAACCCTAAACATCTAAACCCCTAAACCCCTAAACCCCAAAAGCCCGAAACCCTGAGCGCTAACCGCAACCCTAGAACCCTTGCAAGCAGTCCGTCGTGGTCGTCCAGCCACCGGGCAGCGCTGGCTCCAGACTGGTCATGGGAAGTTTCGGGTTCCTTAATGGGTTCCTGCACAAATCTTGCGTGTAGCCCAGAAAAACCTACCTTATTCGGTTTTATTAACGCATCTTTGCAGATTTCCATACGAAGATAGGATTTGGGGCTACAGGTAAGCTTTACCCTAAACCCTAAACCCGAAACCCTAAACCCAAAACCCTAAACCTGGAATTGTATGTTTGAGTGTAGGGTCTGGGATTTCGCGTTTCGGTTTCCGGCTCCCTGAAGGGCTTCTGCACGCGGCTCTACCCATAGGCCCCATAGTAGTTCCTTTTTGGGATTACCTTATAGGATTCTAAATATGAACCCCAAAAAGGAACTACTATGGGGCCTATGGGTAATTCTGGGGTCGATCGAAAATGTTCAGGCTTCAATGGTTTGTGGTCTTAGGGCTTAGGTTTCTAGGGCTTG